GCTTCGTTCCTCCGTTCTTCCAATTCCGAGAGCTGCAGCAATCGAGCTCTGCCGGCGACATCTAGATCAAAGTTCACCTTCTTGATCGCCCACAGAGCCTTATGCTTAATTTCCACCAGTAGATGACAAGCTTTCCCATAGACTAGTCTGAATGGACTCATGCCCAAGACGCCTTTGTACGCTGTTTGTTGAGCCCACGAAGCATCGTCGAGCCGGCTCGACCAATGCTTCCTTGATGAGTTAACCGTCTTCTCCAAGATGGTCTTGATCTGCTTATTACTTGTCTCCACCTGGCCTGAAGTTTGTGGGTGATAGGGAGTAGCCACTTTGTGCGATATGTAGTACTTCTTCATCAGCTTCTCGAAAAGCTTGTTACAAAAGTGCCTCCCTCCATCACTCACGATCGCTCTTGGGAACCCAAACCTACTCAATATATACCCTTGCACAAACTTGATCACGATATTAGCATCACATGTCTTCGTGGGGATAGCCTTAACCCACTTAGACACGTAATCTACGACAAGTAAAATGTACTCGTAGCCACTAGACTTAGGAAACAGTCCCATAAAATCAATGCCCCAAACATCAAAAATTTCAACTTGAAGGTTGTTAGTCAAGGGCGTTTCATTTCTGCGACCTATATTCCCAGTTCTTTGGCATCGGTCACAAGAACGACAAAACGTATGAGCATCTTTAAAAAGGGATTGCCAAAACAAACCCGACTGTAGTACTTTATAGGTGGTTTTCTTCCCGCCAAAGTGGCCTCCACAATGGAACTCGTGGCAGAATGTGAGGACGTCGGTTTGCTCCTCTTCTGGGACACATCTCCTAAGCATCTCATCCTTCCCCATCTTGAAAAGGAATGGCTTGTCCCAAAAATAATCCCTACACACAGGCAAAAAATGCTTTCTCTCTTGGGAAGAGAGATTAGGCCGCAGTTTACCACAACACAAATAATTCTCAATGTCAGCATACCATGCACTTATTGACACCTCATGCGCATGCTCATAAGGAAAATTATCATTAATAGATTGATGCACAATCAATGAAGATGATGAATCTGATGGTACTATGCGTGACAAGTGATCAGCAACTACATTCTCAGAACCTTTCCTATCTTTTATATCAACATCAAACTCTTGCAATAACAAGATCCACCGAATGAGCCGTGGTTTAGAATGAGTTTTGCTCAAAAGCTACTTCAAAGTCGCATGGTCAGAGTGAATAATCACTTTGGAACCCAAAATATATGATCTAAATTTTTCAAGAGAAAAGACCACGGCTAGAAGTTCCTTCTCGGTGGTAGTGTAATTCTGCGAGGCCCCATTAAGAGTCAAGCTAGCATAATAAATCAAACCTAGCAACTTATCAACTCGTTGACCCAAAATGGCGCCCACTGCAAGATTAGATGCATCACACATGATTTCAAAAGGAATAGACCAGCCAGGGGCAATAACAATAGGGGCACTCACAAGATTGCTCTTTAATTGATTAAAAGCACACAAACAAGCATCATCAAAGACATATGGCACATCTTAAGCAAGCAAATGACATAAAGGCTGACTAATCTTCGAAAAATCCTTAATAAACCGCCTATAGAACCCTGCATGCCCCAAGAAACTCCTAATCCCCTTAACATTCACAAGAGGGGGAAGTTTTTCAATAACATCTACCTTGGCCTTATCGACCTCTATCCCCCTACTAGAAACAACATGGCCTAGGACAACCCCACTTCTAACCCTAAAATAACTCTTTTCCCAGCTCAAAGTCAAATTGGACTCAATGCAACGTTCAAGGACTCTAGATAAATTACGAAGACAATGAGAAAATGAATCACCAAATATAGAGAAATCGTCCATGAATACCTGCAAGCAGTCCTCGAGCATATCCGAGAAGATGGAGAACATGCACCTCTAAAACGTGCCCGGTGCATTGCATAGGCCAAAGGGAATCCATCTGAATGCGAAGGTGCCAAAGGGGCATGTGAACATCGTCTTGGGCTGATCCTCAGGTGCTATGGCCACTTGGTAGTAGCCGCAGAGTCCATCTAGGAAGCAGTAGAACTGGTGGCCCGAAAGACGACCAAGGATCTGGTCAATAAACGGCAATGGAAAGTGGTCCTTCTTGGTCACAACGTTCAGTCGACTATAGTCAATGCACATGCGCCACCCGGTGGTGATGCAGGTAGGGACCAACTCCTTCTTGTCGTTCTCGACCACAGTTATGCCTCCCTTCTTCGGCACCACATGAATAGGGCTGACCCACTCACTACTCGCCACCGAGTAGATCAATCCCTCGGAAAATAACTTCAGCACCTCTTTCTTCACTACCTCCATCATATTCGGGTTTAGCCGTCGCTGGCTATCCCGAAATGGTTTGGCTCCTTCCTCCAAGATAATCCCGTGCATGCATGTTGAGGGACTAATCCCCTTAATGTCCCCCAAGCTCCACCCGATTGCTTTCTGATTCTTTCGGAGCATGACTATCAACTCCTCATCTTCCTCACTGTCGAGCTCAGCAAAAATGATCACCGGCTTCTGATGGGCATCATCCAAGAAGACATACTTAAGGTGCTTGGACAGCTCCGTAAGCTCAAGTGTGGCCTCAGCTCGGGAATGACCTTCTCCTACTTCAAAAAGCTTCACTGTAGGCTCTTCCTATTCCTCGAAAGCCGACAACGATACGTTCTCGAACTCCTAAAATACCATCTCATCAACAAAAGGGGCAGCAAGATCAATAAAAGCACATTCTTCTACAAAATTGACTGAGGATGAAGACATGGCCTCTCGGATAGAAATAGACACCAACTCCCCCAGAACCGTCATATTCAGATTATCGTTCTTCACATCGATGAGAGTATTAGTCGTCGCCATGAAAGGTCTTCCGAGAAGGATGGTGTGATCCTTCCCATTCTCGTGCACATCCCCAACTAGAACAATGAAATCCACTGGAATGATAAGCTTACCCACTTTCATGAGAACATCCTCGACTATCCCCTTCGGGTACCTGATGGAACGGTCTGCTAACTGGAGGCACATGCGGGTTAGCCTCAAATCCCCAAGGCCGAGCCTCTGGAAAATCGAGAAGGGAATGAGATTTATTCCGGCTCCAAGGTCAAGCATTCCCGAAGCTACCTTTCCGTTTCCCAAGGCTATCTGGATAATAAAACCTCCGGGGTCACGTTTCTTCTTGGGAAAGTCGTGCTGCACATACCCCGATGGCCTTGTGTTCTTTCGTTGCCGAGCTCTCATCGGCCCGACGTCCACGCGCCTAGTCCCCGAGCCCGCCGAGCACTCCACGCACGCGCCATCCTTCCATCGGGCTCTCGCCGAGGACACACCAAGCCCACAGTGCCGAGCGTGCGAACCTCACGCGGACTCAACGACCACACGCCTACCACCACTGTAACACCCCACTTTGATTTTACCGAAATTCTGGATTTTTCAAAAATCAGTA